CAGTACCGTTGCTTACTCTTGAAACTTTGTTAACATACGTGGCCTACTCCAGGTATACATAAGCCCAGCCTGTTTCTGGCATTCGTGTCCCCTCTAAAACAGTTCCCCCTAGAAACGTATAACAAGTGCAGAGGTCACCACTGGCCACTAGGGTGTTCTGTGATCAAACCTCGAGGGAAAAAGGTGTATTCAGGGATGTGCCTGAAGTCATGTACATGTGACTATCCCCTTCAGGGATGTGCCTGAAGTCACGTACATGTGACTATCCCTGACATAGTACATACTGCTGCTTCTCATTTGTATCTGGCTCCTTCATGAAGAAATACACTCCTCGATGTCTAATGGCTTTATTTGACAAGGATGGCTGGGTTTGAGACAAGTAGGTGCTTCGCCATCTTGACAGCCACCTCGGCCCTTCCATTAGACTGGGGGAACCCAACCAAGGACACACGGTGCTTGACCTGCCATAAGCGGAGGAAGTCCGCTGTGCGCCCTGCCGAGAACGCTGGGCCCACGTCACTTGACAACTCCTCTGGCATACGTAATGTGGCGAAGAACGCCCTTAAGTGATGGATAAGCCCAATGGAGCCCCCGAGATTGGTGCCCGCGGCAGAGCTCATGACTTCCACCCAGCCGGAGAGGCGATCGCCAACGACCAGTTAGTGCTGACCCCTGTAGTCGAAGAAGTCTGCGAACACCTCCTCAAGTGGTGTGGATGGTGGTGATGCCGGCAGGGGAGGTGTGGCCGCCTGCGAGGGGGCAATGCGGTTACAGTCTGCGCATCGCTCCCTGGTCAACTGGATGTCGTTAGACATACCAGGCCAGTAAAAAATGGAGCAGGCTCGTCGTTCCATTGCTGACTTGCCCTTATGGGCGGCGTGGGGGTGCTTAAGTACCGTATGACAAAGGGATGTGGCGACAACGACACGGTCACAGTACAGCAGGACCCCATCTTGCACATGCACCGACTCACAGACCTTAGACAGGTCGGCCAACGCCGGGTCCTTTAGGTCAATGCTGCCTCCATCTTCAATGAGGTGCAGGAGGTGGGAGAGACATGCGTCTGTGGCCATCTCCTGAGCGAGGAGTGGCCATGCAATGGCAGCAGACTCCAGTGCGTCACTGCAAATGGACGCCATATAAACCGACTCCTCGCTATTGGTCACGTTCCATGCGCCCATGCAGCAGCCCTCATCAGAACCAGAGGGAGAGGGATACCTGGAGGCTGCGTTGGCAGCGCAGTTGCTCTTGCCAGGCAAGTGTAAAAATATCAAAGCACCATGGGAGTGTGCACTGTTTGAGCCTGAACAGGCGAGAGTTAGTTATCTCATCCAATGTCCCGTCCCTAAGGATCTTCACCAGGGGCTTATGGTCGGTGACCACGACCAGGTTGTCGCACCCCTGCATGAAGTATCTGGTCTGCTGCAGACCCCATGCTACAGCCAAGGCTTCCCCCTCAATAGCGGCGTATCGCTGCTCAGCGGACGAGAGAAAGCGTGAGCCGGCCAGAGTAATTTCCATCCATCCGGACAGCGGCCGGGGACACCGGAGCTGCAGGTGCAGTGCTGCTAGAGGAGGAAGTATCCAATGCCGCGGCTGGACCACTCTGGGCAGAGACAAGTGCGCCTCTCTATGTCGTAGATCTCTACGCCTGCCCGGATAGAGTCCACGATGGCCAGCTTGGATGCCTGAAATGCTGCCTCTAACTCGGTTGACCACACAAATTTGCATCGAGGGCTCAGAAAGGGCTTAAATGGCGCCATTATATCACGCAGCTGCACATAGTTGGCCACCAGATTAACCAGACCAAACCAGCTCCTGATGTCCGTGGTCGAGGTAGGCGTGGGGAAGTCCCTGATGGCCGTCAAGTACTTTGGGTGGGGCTCGATGGTAGCATCGGAGACCCTGAAACCGGCAAAATCAACGTCCCTCTCAGCAAATTGAAACTTAGATGGGTTCAACACGATGCCGGATCGGCCAACGTGCATCAGGAAGTCGATTGTTCTCCACCAATGCGTGTTAAGGTCGGTGTCATAGTGGATGGTGTCATCCACACACCTTTCCTTCCGTTCAAAGTCGGAGAGGATCGCATCAAAGCGGCGATTGTAGCCATCACCAGATGACAGAAAGCCCTGTGGGGCTCTGGTGTAACGCCAGCGGCCGAAGGGAGTGATGAAGGTAGTGAGATGACGATCTGACTTGTGCAGGGGCACACTGTGATACCCATTCCAGGCATCAGTGACAGTCTTCCAGGTCCCTTTCGGGATCCGGTGCGCCAGGTGGAATGGGGACTTGGTTGCAAAAGTCTCACGTTTGCAGAACTTGTTAAGAGGTGAGATATCGACGGTCTTGCGGGGGGTTCCGTCGTGCTTCCGGATGACCACCATCCTGTGGCACCAGGTCACTGGTTCGCCATACGGGACGCGTTTGATGACGCCCAGGGACTTGTCCCGAAGTAAGTCGTCATGCACCCTCTGTTGCCAATGCAAAGGCAAGGCCGCCGCGGTGTGGCACGTCTTTGGTGTTGCTGCTAGGTCAACGTGTATTTCTATGGGTGGACCTTCCATGCATGATAGTGGCCGATGGGGGCAAGTGTTGAATGTTGAAGATGCGTACCTGTCAAGCAGCCACGCCTTCATCTGGTGATTATTCTCTGGGTAGCATGGGAACGGCAGCTCTGCGAGGAGCAGAGGCGGGGCGCTGCATTGAGGACATGAGCAACAAGCCACATGATGGGAAGCCATGCCTCAGTCGCAGACTTCCTCCAGGCATGTGACTTTGGTGAGCCCACCGCAACAGCTGGCGGCTTCAAGGTCACAGCCCACTGCCGAGTTGCCCTCACCCGTGCAGGATGGAAACCCACTAGGCAGAAGGCCGAGGCTGAGCAGGGAGTCATACAAGAGGTACATCGCGTGAACTGACCTGCTAACATATATCATTGCACGGCAGGACACCACCTCACCACCAGGGGCAGCAGTGGATAGGCAAAGAAGGCGCCCTCGATGTCAATGGGGGAGCTGTTTGCCGCTGGTAGGTTTAGGACCACCGGGTGGAGGGCGCTGCGTACAAAACCGCATGCCAGAAACTCCTCCAGGGACCACAGGTCCGACTGAGCCCCCGTGTCTGCAATGGTGGACACGGTGGCCTCTGCAGCCGATCATCTGGCACTGGCTCCACTAGTGAACCTCACCTTATCATCAACCTGGATGGAGACGGGCACTCGGGGGTGGTCCCTGAGCTTTGCGTGCCGCCATTCGCCCTTGGAGAAGATGTGATGGCTGGACGAGGGGAGGGTGTTGCGAGCCATTTCTCTGTTCTCCACCAGTGCTATAATATTATTCACAGACTTACACAGAACATCATGAGTCCCCTACATGTCCCTTCGTATGTCAGAGTCATTAATCCCATTAATCAGTACATCATGAATAATATGATCAGAAAAGTCAACTGACTGCCCGCATCCTCACACAGCGTTGTAGGCGCAGGTTTCTGCCTTGCCACACACCCTGGGGGCAAATGCACGAAAGGGCTCGTCACGATCCTGGCGTAGTTGAAGCAGTTCAGTCCTCAGAACGCATGAGGCAACTGCTCAGCCGGTACCGTGTCGCAACTTCATGTCGGCCAAGAATCCTCCAGACGTGGCCAACGGGGACGCTGCCCCAGCAGCGCGGACCCCAGAACAGTGCCCATCACCTCCCTCCTCCCAGCCAGCGGGCTCCGGTTGGGTAAGGCGGCCACCCAAGCGTTATGTACCGGAAACTGGCCTGTGGGTTAGGTCACAAGTCCACTGCGCCTGTGTGACACACAGCTTCCTGGACTGGGGGGATGCAGAGGTCACCACTGGCCACTAGGGTGTGCTGTGATCAAACCTCGAGGGAAAAAGGTGTATTCAGGGATGTGCCTGAAGTCACGTACATGTGACTATCCCCTTCAGGGATGTGCCTGAAGTCACGTACATGTGACTATCCCTGACTGTACATACTGCTGCTTCTCATTTGTACTGCTGCTGCTCAACCATCACACTGCTGTCTATCCATGCTACTGTTCGACTTGTAAGTCTTCACCTGCTTGTTAAGCTAATGTAATGGTCACATTGTCAGTATGCACGCTAAGCTGCGCTGCATTCGTTAACGTATTTTATCGCATTGCTTAGCTTTGGCCTTCAGCCCATGCTGCTGCTTCACGCTGCTGTTAGCTTCTGCTCACTCAGCTTTGTATGTCGCCGCAGGGCTCCTTCATCCTTGTCAATAAAGCTGTTTGACATCGAGGAGTGTATTTCTTCAACAAGTATATAACATTCCTCTTGTTACAGAAATGACAGGAAACATGGCTTTAGAGGTGGCGAGCGCATGAAGAGGTGGACGAGGATGAGAGACAAATTTAAGTTTAATTTTCATGTTTTTTTTATGTGATTCTTCTTCTTCCCATTAGACTGGTGGGACGACGCCCTAGCGCCTCCTATGGACGAGCCGCCGGATGGATGGATATCAACTAATTTAAAAGTACCTATTTACGGAAGAGGGGGAAAGCTAGCTCAAGTTATATTTAAAAAAATCAGAGGAGTTGTTTTTCAGTGGCACCAACCTTCTCCTGAAGGTGTTCCTCAGGAACTCCAAAATGTTCTTTCTTAAGGTTTTGTCACATGATGCTCTAGTTCTCCCGAGCTGGAGGAAAAACAGCTGAGAGCATCACCTGACTGAGAAGGCGGGTAAACACCGCCACTTTCTGGTGAAAACAGTAAAAAACAATCAGAACCAAACAGAACAGAGTAGAATAGAGTAGAATAGAATAGAGTAGAGTAGAGTAGAATAACTCGGGGGTGGCGACATTGACCACAAGCCCAGGAGGATTCAAACTGGACCCATAAATAGGTTTTATTATGTGACGCGTTGGGTTCGGATCTTGTGGATGGTTTGGGTTTCTGGTTCTTTCCACCTGACCGGTGAAACGCGTCATGGCAGCGGAACATCCATTACATCACTATAGCTGATAACAGGGTGTGCTCCGGTCCGGTCCGGTCCGGTCCGGTCCGGTGTGGGCTGTCCTCAATAGGGCGGTCCGTACTGAGTCACGGCCCTTCAGTCCGCCGGCCCGGAACCGAGTCCAGTCTGCGCACACGTAGCCTCGTGAGAAGACTGGAGTCCGTGTCCTCTGATGAAGACCAGCATGCAGGTTCTGGACCCGCGGATCTGGACCGTCTTCAGGCGCCACGCTCCTCAGACCCTCACCTACTGGAGCGTGTTCTTCAGCTTCGGTCTGTGCATCGCCTTCCTGGGACCCACCGTCCTGGACCTGAGGTGCCAGACCCAGTCCACCCTGCAACAGATCACCTGGGTGTTCTTCTCCCAGCAGCTCTTCCTGCTGATAGGAAGCAGCTTGGGGGGGCTCTTGGAGAAAACGTGAGTTCCTGCTGGAGCCTTTGGGCCAAATGTCCTCGTCCTGATGAATGAAAACCAACATTTTATTTTAAAGAATAGAAAAAAAAACTTTGGTTTAGATGATGAATAAATCCAATACCGTGGTTCTACAGGAAATAAGAGGTCACATGACCATATTGAGTTAGCTCTTTATGACTGAATTCAGATTCATATTCAAAGATACTTTCTTAATCCCAGAGGGAAATTAGACTTCAGATAAAGTGGCACACAGACAGTAACTCTCAAGACTACATTTGACTTTCAAATGTGGTCAATTCAAATGAGACACAGTTGTCTCTGATGTGTGTGAAACCAGCAGGTGAAGACACCTGTCCAGGTGCACAGAGTAGCAGGAGGCTCGGTGTCTACAGATAAACCAGAGACCCTGCACCTATTGGGCAGAACGGAAAAGACACGAGGCCAAAGCTGTTCGAAACAGGTCCTGGAATTTGAACCCACAACCATCTTTTACATTAGATCACACACACACACACACACACACACACACACACACACACACACACACACACACACACACACACACACACACACACACACACACATTTGTGTGTGTGTGTGTGTGTGTGTGGATAGATATATGGGGTAGGCCATTTCTATGGGTACACCTTAATAAGATGGGGATGTTGGGGATATTAAGGTCCTGTTTGAGGCATATCAGAATATGTGAGGGGGCAAACTTTTCGAGATGAGTGGTGACTAGAGGTGCTGAAAAACATCGATTCAAGTCTGAATCGGGATTCTTATTTATGAAGCTTCAGAATCGATTCCAGGAACTCAAATGTTTGGCATGTTACAGGTTTCAGATGCACTTTTGTCTGTTTTCTGATCTTCGTTAGGAGAGTCAGTCCTCCGTTTACTTTTGTGGTCCCATACATTCAGATGATTTATGTTTGAATCTGCTGATAAGCTAGAATACGATGTTGTCCCTACTCAGAAAGTTGAGATATTCTCATATTTATTTTCTAAGTTGATAAGTGAGTACTCAGGATGACTCATGTGTTTATTTTAAGTTATTGATAAACGAGAGAACACATTTTCCTTTGTAAGAAATCTAAGATACTTCTTTTAAACAGGCTGAGGACTCAAATGTTAAACTTGTTTCTACACATACTTGAAAAGTATTTGACCGTATTACCTTCAAAGTTACTGTTAGGTAACTACAGATTTGTTATATTTAACAAGGTAAGCAAAAATAAATGTTGCCTTTTGGTCAAAAGATTGTTTCTGTTTAGTTTTAGAATCACTTTAGTTGTAAATTAGCTTTTTTTTTTTAGCATGACCGGTTTATAGTAAAATAAAAATTTCCCATAGCTTTAACTAACTTCAACAAAGGAGTTCATCCTGGAGCCGACACTCTTTGTTAATACTGATTGTGAATCGAATTAAATCGAGAATCGATTCTGAATCGATTCAGCACCCTGAGAATAAGAATCAAATCAAATCGTGAATTGCTCTAAGATTCACATCCCTAGTGGTGACCATGGTGGCCATTTTGAAATTGGCCATCTTGGATCCAACTTTTGTTTTTTCAATAGGAAGAGGGTCATGTGACACATCAAACTTATTGGGAATTTCACAGGAAAAGTAATGTGTACTTGGTTTTAACATAATTTTATTCTTTCATGAGTTATTTACAAGTTTCTCTTTGTTCACAGCCATTGACATGTTGAAGAGGTTAACACATGAGAAGCGGATCAAAATTGTGTTGGATTGTCACCGCAACCCTCAATTGGATCCAAGATGGCCGACTTCAAAATGGCCACCATGGTCACCACCCATCTTGAAAAGTTTGCCCCCTCGCATATTCTAATGTGCCACAAACACGACGTTAATATCACCAACCATTCCCATTTTATTAAGGTGTATCCGTAGAAATGGACCACCCTATACATATACACACACACACACATTTATATATATATAAATATATCATCACCATCATCTTCATCACCATCATTATCACCATCTTCATCTTCATCATCATCATTCTCATCACAATTATCATCATGTCTCTGTGATCATGATGGTGATAAAGATGGCAATGATGAGGGTGAAGAAGATGGTGATGAGGATAAGAATGATTATGATGAAGATGATGATGGTGATAAGGATGATGATGGTGATGAAGATGACGATGATGATGAAGATGATGGTGATGAAGACGATGATGGCAATGAATATGATGTTGGTGATGACGAAGATGATGGTGATAATGATGGTGATGAGGATGATGAGTATGGTGAGGAGAACGGTCATGATGATGATACTAATGATGATGATGATGAGAATGGTGAGGAGGATGATGGTGATGATGATGATAATAATGATGATGATGATACTAATGATGATGATGATACTAATGATGATGATGATGAGAATGGTGAGGAGGATGATGGTGATGATGATGATACTAATGATGATGATGATACTAATGATGATGATGATACTAATGATGATGATGATGAGAATGGTGAGGAGGATGATGGTGATGATGATGATACTAATGATGATGATGATACTAATGATGATGATGATACTAATGATGATGATGATGAGAATGATGATAATGATGAGAATGGTGATGATGATGATGATGATGATGATGATACTAATGATGATGATGATGAGAATGGTGAGGAGGATGATGGTGATGATGATGAGAATGATGATGATGATGAGAATGGTGAGGATGATGATGATGATGATGATGAGAATGGTGAGGATGATGATGATGATGATGATGAGAATGGTGAGGAGGATGATGGTGATGATGATGAGAATGGTGATGATGATGAGAATGATGATGATGATGAGAATGGTGAGGATGATGATGATGATGATGATGATGAGAATGGTGAGGATGATGATGATGATGATGATGATGATGATGATGATGAGAATGGTGAGGATGATGATGATGATGATGATGATGATGATGATGATGAGAATGGTGAGGATGATGATGATGATGATGATGATGATGAGAATGGTGAGGATGATGATGATGATGATGATGAGAATGGTGAGGAGGATGATGGTGATGATGATGAGAATGGTGATGATGATGAGAATGATGATGATGATGAGAATGGTGATGATGATGAGAATGATGATGATGATGAGAATGGTGAGGATGATGATGATGATGATGATGATGAGAATGGTGAGGAGGATGATGGTGATGATGATGAGAATGGTGATGATGATGATACTAATGATGATGATGATGAGAATGGTGAGGAGGATGATGATGATGATGATGATGATACTAATGATGATGATGATGAGAATGGTGATGATGATGATGGTGATGACCCAGTTGGGTCCTGGTTAGATTTCATAGTCGCGGCACAGCCTACGTAGGGGAACCACTGGAATGAGGAGGTGTGTTCAAACCTTTACTGTACATAAAAGATTCACCGTAAATAATGAGAAAAGAATATAGTAAATTAAAAAATGCATTCCATATTGCTTCATTCTAGTAATTCACAAGAATACAGATTAATGAATGCACACTGGTACCGTTATTGTAATTGTAAGTCGCTTTGGATAAAAGTGTCGGTCAAATAAATAAACATAAACATAAACATGTCAGTCTGATCCTTGAAGATAGGACATACTCAGTATTAAATAGTACTTTAATAAGAGCAGGCCCATGTAAACAGAGATCATTAATATTATTGTATATGTAATTAGTAATCAATTTCTGTTCAAATAAAGATTCAAAAGATCATTTATAATAACTAATGAGCTTCCAGACCAAACAACTTAGCATCTCTAAAGCATCATTAGAACAACTGAGTCAGCAGGAGTGTGACCAGGGAGCAGAGAACAGGTTCTTCAGGTGGTGATCTCTTGAAAGATTCCACTCAAACGAGTCCAAACCACCGCGTCCTTTATTTATCACCAAAACAACATGGATTTCATGTTCTGATTATATGTGAAAGCAGCCATATTTCAGTGTGTTGGAGAGTTTTAGGGAGCTCCTGCGACTCCTGTTCCTTTATGCATTCCTGTATTCATGCTTGCTGCCCTGGACAACCACTGGTTGCAGATTTTATTAATCTTGTGAACTCTTTTAGTTTTACCCAGTGGGTAGATGGGGCCACTCAGGTATGCGGTCACACTTTGGACCTTGTGTTGTCTCTTGGATGCACGGTGTCCAACGTGTGTATTCAGGATGCAGTCTTTTCAGACCACAAGCCTGTACTATTTCACATTACTGTGCGTGGTAGTAGGGATGTAAGAAAATATCGATATGGCAATATATTGTGATATTTTTTCCAGCAATATTATATCGATATTCAAAAGCCGTGTATCGGAAATATCGATATGGCAATATATCGTGATATTTTTTCCTGTGATTATTACATCGATTTTCAAAAGCCGTGTATCTAATTCTTGAAATAATTTACATGCAAACATTTGTGTATTTTCTTTTCATTTTGTGCAATTCAATCGCCACACGCTAGTTGGCAGCAGTGTGCAACGGGTTTTGTTTCCACCATTGAAATGTAAATCCCTCCATCACGGTTCAGATACCTCATGTTAAACATGTTACGTATCAGTTTGGACTGTTTATTGAACATTCTTACAATAAATTCTGTAAAAAAAATTGCTTGTAACGTCTGACTGAATGTATCGCAATATCTCGTGATATATCGTATCGTCTCCCCTGTATCGTGATATGTATCGTATCGCCAGAATTTCAAAAATACACATCCCTGCGTGGTAGTGTTGTTGACTCTGCAGCTCCTATTAGGCTTTCTCGTCCTGTGAACAGTGCTACTTCAGGACAGTTTTCCTTGTTATTTAGAAGGGCCGAGCCTTATGTGGGTGACTGGTCACTTGTGGATGATCTGCTCTATTTTAATCAGACCTGTAAGGACATTATGGACACTATTGCGCCTCTTCGCCCAAAAAAGGCAACTCATGGTGCTAATGTGTGGTCGACTGAATGCACCAGGGCTGCAAGAAGGGAATGCAGGAGGTGTGAAAGAAAGTGGAAAAAGGATAAGCTGCATGCATCTTTAATGGCCCTTAGAGAAGGTTGGAAATCTTATCAGGATCTTATCAAATCCACAAAGACTGCCTATTATTCCAACCTTGTGCATGCTAATGCCAACAAACCACGGGTTTTGTAAGCAGCTATAAACTCTGTGCTGAATGCGGAAGATTATTCACCTGTACAGGCCTCCGACTCGACAAGGTGGCGATGCTGCGAGGCGCCCTGCCTAAATCTAGTGTGTTAAGCTCCTTTATGTCTTTTGAGGAACGGCTGGTCTCTTTTCATCCCGTATCACTTGCTGAGTTCACCAGTCTGTTTAAAGAGGCTAAACCTAGAGGGTCACCAGAAGATATTTTACCCCGCGTTTGCTTCAGGAAGTTTTTCAAACTGTTGCACCACTGATTTTGCACATAATCAATAACAGTTTGGCTTCTGGTTTTGTACCGACGGATTTAAAAAAAAACAGTTATTCGCCCACTTTAAAAAAACCTGGGTTGGATGCTTCCTTACCAGTGAATTATAGGCCAATCTCCAAACTCCCTTTTTTGGGTAAGATGCTTGAAAAATGTGTCTATACTCAACTCATGGACTTCTTTAAGGACTTTGATATTTTAGAGACCCTCCAATCAGGTTTTAAAATGTTGCATAGTACCGAGACTGCCCTTATCGAGGCCTTTATTGACATTCTTTTAGCAACAGACGGTGGCAGTCCAGTGCTGCTGGTCCTATTGGATCTTACAGCAGCTTTTGATACCGTAGACCACGAAGTGTTGCTCCATCGCCTTGAACATTATGTGTGAATTTCTGGGCAAGCCCTAAACTGGTTTGGATCATATTTACGTGACAGGATGGTTTGTGTGAGGATGGGTGGCTTCTCACATCTGCCATGGGGGATACCGCAGGGTTCAATACTGGGACACTTGCTGTTTTCAATTTATATTCTCCCATTGGGTGACATTTTACGAAGTTTGGAATTGGATTCCATCTCTATGCCGACGACTGCCAATTGTACTTGCCTCTAGATGGCGCTGGTGATGACACAATAAAACATTTTTTTGGATTGTCTGGCAGAAATTATGATATGGTTGGTAGAAAACGTCCTGTGTCTCACTGGAAAAAAAACAGAGGCACTGCTGTTTGGTCCGAGCGGACATGTTGATTTTCAAACATAGACTGCGGTGAATTGAACTCCTGTTTGGGTGTTTCAGCAGTCAACCTTGGCGTGAAGATGGACGGTGCATTCTGCATGGATGCTCATGTGGGTACTGTAGTATCCTCTTCATGTTATCATTTAAGACGTTTGGCTAAAGTAAAGCCGTTTTTATCTAGACGTGACCTTGAGACCGTTCTTCATGCTTTTATTACCTCACGACTCGACTGTTGTAATTCTGTTTTATGTGGTGTAAGTAAGGGTGCTGTAACCCGGCTGCAGCTTGTCCAGAATGCTGCAGCTAGACTCTTGGACAACAAAAGGAAGCACGAACACGTGACACCAAAGTTGGCTGCTCTCCACTGGTTACCTGTTGATTTTAGAATTGGTTTTAAACTTCTTTTAATGGTGTTTAAGGCGCTGAGTGGTGTGGCTCCAACCTATTTGATGGAGTTGTTGCAGCCGTATGTTCTGGCCCGGTCACTCCGCTCTGAGAACCAGCTGCTGCTTGTGGCTCCTAAGGCCGGGTTAAAGTTGAGAGGGGACAGGGCGTTCTCTGTTGCGGGTCCGAAACTGTGGAACGCCCTGCCCCTAACCGTTAGGGACTCTCCATCAGCAATGGTTTTTAAAATGAGGCTGAAAACCTACTTTTGTGATCTGGCTGTTAATTCTGTGGGTTAGCAATTGTTAATGTTTTATATTTTGTGATTCTTATTTGTGGTTTTAATTATCTGTGGCGCTATATGTTTTATTGTTTTATTCTTTTGTTGTTCAGCACCTTGGTGGCATGCTCTTGAGTGTAAGGTGCTGTATAAATAAAGGCTGAGTTGAGTTGAGTTGCGGTGCTGAAAGTGCAGCTGTGCAGTAGGCGGGGCTTAGACCGAGCTCTGAATGGCGAGTGCAGTGAACAGACATCAGAGCCTGTTGATTATGGGGTTGGTGTTCTTCAGTGTGAGGAATGCAGCGTGAGCCTGGTTATGACACATGTGTGGAACTGGAAATGCTGCAGAAAGCCAGCCACCAGAAGATCCCTCTCCAAATGAAGAGTGCTGTCTACGCGACTGCATCGTGCTAAATGATGTCATCATGTGTAACGCACAAACCGGTCTGAAGTTTAAAAATCTAACTTGACTCTGATTGGCTGAGATGTTTTGTCTCAAACTTAGTCTGTTTTTTTTCTTCATCCAGCCTCACATCCTCCTTGTTGGCTCTTTTCTCCTCCACTCTCATCATCTCACTTGTGTTTGCCATCATCCCACTGTGTCACCATGTGCTGCTGCTGTCCATCGCCATGGCGCTGGCTGGTAAAGCCATGGGTGTCATAGACACCATAGGCAACCTGCAGCTGGTGAAGCTCTACCAGAAGGACTCAGCCATCTTTCTACAGGTCAGTGTGTGTGTGTGTGTGTGTGTGTGTGTGTGTGTGTGCTCTGTATTCTCCATCCCCAGTGAGTCGTGGAGGATGGCTGCTTATACTGAGCCAGGATTCTCTGGAGGTTTCTTCCTGTTAAAAGGGAGTTTTCCTCTCCACTGTCGCTGCATGCTTGCTTAGTATGAGGATTGCTGTATAGTCACTGACACTAGTCAGTGACTCGATGGTTAAAATTTCCCACTGTAATGAAGAAGGCATCCAGAAGATCCTTCTACAGCTTAGTCGTGCATGAGAATGTACTGATTCTTGTCAAACACTAGCCTTAGTGCCTATTCTCTCAGTCTGAGCTTTAGAGACACTGATACAGCTGTCGGCTAACACACAGGCGGGCGGACGGGCGGGCGGGCGGGTGGGTAGGTAGTTAGGTTGGTTGGCTGGTTGGTTTATCTATCTATCCGTCCGTCCGTCCGTCTGTCTCAGTGAAAGATGTCTCAAATGTCCCACAGGCACTTTTTATTATATTATATTTATAATTAATGTAAAATTATGTAAATTCCATCTAACAGTGACCCATAAAGTACCATTCACAATATCATGACTAATTATTTTTTGTCCAGAGAAAAAGTCTATCAAGTTAAGCTAAATTGATGATGTAACTGCATCTACAGAGGAGTACAGGCACCATGGAGTTAGTAGGAAACGTGGTTGGACTCTATCGGTGTTGACAGAAGGAAACAACGGAAGAAAGAAAACGATCTTCTGTATAGTGCCTCTCAAGATAAAAATCCCAAGGCGCTTCACAAAACAGAAAATTAGGATATTTAAAAAAAGATTTCTAAAAATGATTAAAAAGATGTTTTAATGAGAAAAAAAATAGTGATTAAAGAATGTAAGGAAAGGGAGAGAAAGTTAATAGGAAAGAGGGAAATCAGTGGATCGCGGGAAAGGCGAGGGTGGTGAAGTCCACACCAAAGCCAGCATGAACAACCAGTTTCCAGCTGCTTTTTGAAGGAGACCACTGAGTCCACTGTTCTCGAGTGTAGCGTTAAAGCATCTTTCTGGAGTATTTCTCTTACCCGATGGCGCCATCTAGTGGCTGACAAGCATATCACACCCCTTCCGTTTTTTTAAGATGGCGACTTCACGTTTCTGTTTCTAAATGTGCTTCTGTAGCAGCAAACAACTAAAACACGTAGTTTTACGAGTATTATTCTCATGTCGTGTTCTCATATATTTATATTTTAGAGACTTGTCCGTGAAAAGTTCATCAGCTCTGCATCAGCCGAGGAACTCCTTAAATGTGAAGCTCCTAAGCGGCAGTCTAATGCTATTGGATAGCTCTGGTCGGCGCTCAGTTTCCTGATGTGTGTGTGAAGTTTGTTCTCCACATGTGACCCATCCCCTCGGGGGGGGGGGGCTGCAGACACGGCAGCGCTTGGGAAGCGTTTGGTGGTTTAACCCCCCAATCCAACCCTTAATGCTGGGTGTCAAGCAGGGAGGCATTGGGTCCCATTTCTTCTAAGTCTTTGGTATGACCCGACCAGGAATCGAACCGTGATCTCCCAGTCTCAGGGCGGACACTCTACCACTAGGCCACTGCGCTGGTAAAAAGAGTGATGTGTCTTACCCAAGGACATGAATGCGGGTGCCTGGGTTGGAACCTGCACCCCACCGGTTACAAGGCAAACTTGATTGTCTCTATTGAGTCACTCAGGGACAGAGACCCGGCCTCGGGGGCATTCTGAGTGCTGAGCGTGAAATGGTCTGTCTCTCTCCTCAGGTCTTGCATTTCTTCACTGGCCTGGGAGCTCTGGTCAGCCCCCTGGTGGCTGATCCATTCCTGGCAGAGGACAGCTGCGTTCTGGGAGCCAACTGGACCATGAACTCGTCGTCCCCCTCTGACCTAGAACACCTCCGCAACAGCCTGGTGGGGCACGGAGCGGCGCTGCACAACACCTCCCAGTATCCTCTGAACGTTGAGGGGGTGGTTGTCACAAGGGTGTCGTACGCCTTTTGGATCATGGCTCTCATTAATGTGAATTGTTACAGCCGTCTTCTTCTCTTCTGACTGTTCTTAAAAAGCTTCTCTTCCATGATTTTACAACCTGGCGTAGTCCTAATCCTGAAAACTAATTAGCTCTTTGCAGCTGTGAAAGACAAGGTGGATCATTAGGTTTGGCCTGGGATGTGACACGGTGGAGCAGAGTCCCACACCTTCAGGGTTTAGATGGTGTTTGACTTGTTCTGGAATGTTTCAACACGTTGGTCCCTGCATGTCCCTCAGACTGGTTTGGCGCTGTGTCCGGGACTCATTTAGCTGCTCTGAGAATATCTACGGCCTGATACATGGAGGTAGTTTCTCTTTTACAGCCTTGTACAGGATGTACAGCAGGACCTTTTCCAGTCAGGGTCGGAACAGATCAGGTGTATTTCCTTTTTATGAGAGGGCGCTCCCAGGCAGAATCACCTGGCAGGCAGTGTTGCCAAATCGCCATGACAACAATCATCTGTGTGTTTGTCCTGCAGCTCCCCGTGCCAGCAGCAGTGCTAGCATTGATGTACCATGAGAGACGGTTGTCTTGCTCCAGCAGCACCACCCGTCTGCTCCACAAGGAGCCCAGGTCCAGTCCCACCAAGGACAGCAGCCAAGGTAGCGTAGATGCAGTTGTGTATAAGTCAGCAGATCTGTAAGTGTCGCCGTCTCTGCAGGCCATGAAGGTGTGTTTGACTGCTGCAGCCCCAAAGTCAGAGGTCAACCCGCATCGTTTTTTATCCTTCATGCTCTGGGAGGAGGCATTGTCTTCATCACAGATGGAATTATAGTGAGCCTTCCCGTTACACACACACACACACACACACACACACACACACGGTGCTTCTCAGTGCCTTTTACCAGGCGTCTGTCTGAACAGAGCCACTTCCACTGAGGAGTGAAAAGTTCTCTAAGTCGTGTGTCTGCAGCGGCGGGTGGGGCTAGTCAGAGCCTGCTGCCACCGACGTGCCAACAGGCAACCACGCTCCTTCTTCACACAAAGGGAGGTCACAAATGAAACACGCCAGACACATTTTCTTTTTGTCAAGTCGAGTTTTTCTACAGAAAATCTGAGAACTGGCGGTGGAGCATCAGCGTTACAGTGAAGGAGCTGCTTTTGTGTCACATGATGGGTTTTAAACAGTAACAAACAAAAAATAAAAACATATTTGCCAAAATTCTGACAAAGAAACCAACATTTACCAGCATGGATCTCTAAAGGCAAGGCGGAGTGTTGTTTTAGGACACAGCCGGGCGTGTCTGACGGGGACTGGTAGCTTATCTGGTCTCTCATCCTGCAGGGCTCCTACGCAGGCTTCGTCTACACCTACGCTGTCTCCCCTCCTCTGCTGATGGGGCATAAGATGGCTGGTTGTCTGGACAGCATATTTTGGGCTTCCATCACAGCAGGACGACTGTCTTTCATCTACTTGTCCTACAGATACCCAGCACCGACGCTGCTGACCATTAATCTGGTAAGAACACACCCCGAATCCTCCTGAGGCGAACACACCTGTTGACCTCACGCTAAGGTTGAAGCTTTACGGTGTCCTGTGAAGGTCTTTTTACAGTTGGTCACACCTAGTATGTAACTTGGGTGGGAAGGTAAACCCTGGGATTATGTCCTACACAATAGGTTTGAAGCTGTTCAGGACTTTGTCTTTCTGCTCAGCCACCCTGCTTGATCACATTTTCTAACCTATCAGAAGCTCGCCCAAAACAACAACAAACAATAACAAACAATAACATAAAAATGCATAAAACATGCAAATGTTTCCACAGAGCAGAACATATTTAATATTACAGATGAATATTAGTGCGTTGCATCCCGTTGAAGATAACAAGACCGGCGAGAATAACCACTCATGGTGCGACTCTATTAGATAATATTTTTAAACATGTAATGAAAGAAACTATAAAAGGCGGGATATTGATAAATGATATAAGTGACCACTTACCAGTGTTTGTAACTTATGACTGTTGCTATAAAGTTCATAGAAATGTAGGTAAGATGATATATAAAACAATTAGAACAGAAAAGGCAATGCAGTGTCTCAAAAATGAGTTAATAAAACAAGATTGGACTATTGTATATAAACATAAGGATGTCAATAAAGCCTATGAGGCATTCTTAAGTATATTCATGGCCTTATTAGAGAAAAACAGCCTACTTATTGAAGTCAACAGGAAAGACAAGTATACAGGAAGACCATGGATGTAAAAAAAAAAGAACAGCTTATATAGAGAATTCATTAAAAAGAGAACTACAGATTCTGAAAAGAAATATGAAAAGTATAAAAATAAATTAACTAACATAATGAGAACTTGTAAAAAAGAATACTTCATCAAAAAGTTAGAAGATAATAAAGATAGCATGAAAGGGATATGGAATGTATTGAATAGTATAATAAAAAATGCACCAAGGACTAATGACTACCCTGGGTATTTTATGGAAGGGACAAATACTATTAGTAAAATGAACGAAGTAGTAGATGGATTTAATGATTTTTTTGTACATATAGGGCCAAAACTAGCCGTGGAAATAAAGGTTGATGTGATAGAAAGGGAGACTGGAGGAAACACTGAAAGGAATGCAAGTTCAATGTTTTTAAGAGCAGTGGAAGAGAAGGAGATGTATGATATCGTCAGTGGACTTAAGAACAAAACAAGTACTGACTCCCATGATATTGATATGTTAACAGTAAAGAGAGTAATTGATGGTATTGTAAAACCGCTACAATATATTTTTAATTTGTTTTTCCAGGAAGGGATTTTTCCACAAAAAATGAAAGTAGCAAGAATTATCCCCATTTATAAATCAGGTGAAAAGCATTGTTTTACAAATTATAGACCAGTGTCGGTACTCTGCCAGTTTTCTAAGATACTGGAAAAAGTATTTCTAAAAAGACTTGATAACTTTGTGGATAAACATGATCAGTTGGCAAATTGCCAGTATGGGTTTAGAAATAACAGATCAACAGTTTTGGCATTGATGGATTTAATGGAAGAAATAACTGAATGTATGGATAACAAGAAGTATGCACTTGGAGTTTTTCTAGATCTAAAAAAAGCATTTGATACTGTTGACCACAAAATTCTTATAATCAAACTGGAGAAATATGGGTTTAGGGGTGTGGTATTGGATTGGATAAAAAGCTATGTGATGAATCGACAGCAATATGTACAAATAAAGGAGTTTAAATCTAAATTGATGGATATTGAATGTGGAGTACCTCAAGGATCAGTATTGGGACCAAAAATGTTTATAATGTAAATAAATGATATTTGTAAAGTATCGAAGATCCTAAAGTTTGTAATTTTTGCAGATGATACCAATATACTTTGTTCAAGTGGGGAATTTCAACAGGTTGTGGAGGTGATCACACAGGAGTTAAAGATATTAAAGACGTGGTTTGATAGAAACAAATTGTCCTTAAATTTAAATAAAACAAAATTTATGTTATTCAGAAACCATAAGAAAAATATTAACATTGAAATTTGTGTTGATAATGTATATCTAGAAAGGGTTAATACCATAACATTTCTTGGTGTGATCATTGATCATAAGGCCTGTTGGAAATCACACATCACTTATGTGAGGGGAAAGTTAGCGCGGGGCGTTGCTGTCTCGGGGAAAGTAAAACATTTTCTGGATAGGAAAACATTATATATGTTATATTGTGCATTCATATTACCATACATGAGTTATTGTGTAGAGGTTTGGGGAAACACATATAAAAGTAATATTCAGACCATAATCATAATGCAGAAAAGGGCTATTAGACTAATAAATCAGGAGGGGTATAGGGCTCACACAAACACACTCTTTATTAAGACGCAAGCTTTAAAATTCCAGGACCTGGTCAAGTTTAAAACAGTGCAAATAATATATAAGGCAAGGAAAGGGATGCTCCCTCTTGAAATAAGTAAATGGTTCTTAGAAAGAGAAGGGAGGTATAATTTTAGAGGGAAGTGGAATTTAAAAGTACAAAGAGTAAGAACAACATTGAAAAGGATGTCTATTTCAATAGCGGGCGTTAAATTCTGGAATGAGTTAACAGAAGAAATAAAGGACAATAGTAATGTAAACCAGTTTAAAATAAAACTCAAACAAGAAATGTTAAATAAGTATAAGAATGAAGAAAATGCAAGTAACCCAGGACGGCATGCAAACTGATGTTTAATCTCTTCTACAAATTAGAAAATCTGAATATAGTTCTAGTTGAATATGAGAATTTTATTTATTTTTGTTTGAAGGCCTTGTAACTGTCTTGTTGTTCACATTGAGATGATGAGGATGTAAACCTGAGGGGGTGGGGCTAGATAAGTACATACTTCTGCCTGCTCCTTTTCAAACAACTGCTTGGGATGATTTTATGAAATGTTGGTGAACGTATATGTTTGAACTGAACTGAAGATGTAAATCTTTGGCTTGTGTCTGCACGTGGACATTCTAGAGTTTAGTTAGGTTTTCTGTTTTAACTGCAGTGAGATGCATCATGGGAGATGTGGTTCTAAGTTCCCAGCTTTAAACACCATCTGATCTTAATGAGCCATGGTGTGTTTGCAGATCAGCATCCAGTCTTTTAGAAACCATCTGTTACTGATCAAACACCACACCACACATCTGGCCTACAAACACAAGGGACCAGTTTGACCAGGAAAAGGATGCGATTACTTTTGACATGTTAACCGAATGAGTCTGGAGGTCAGTCAGGTCAAAGCCTCTCCCTGGGCTTACCGTGCTGGAGGGAGGATCTCAATGATCCTAGGAGCTAAGTTGTCTGAGGCTTTCTGCCTGAATAGAAAAGAAATATAATAGAAAATCTCTTTATTGTCCCTCAGTGGGGAAAGCTTGTTGTTGCAGCAAAAAGGGAGAGAAACAAAATAAGAGTGAAGTGTAAACAACAAGAAAACTGAAATATTTAAAAGATTCTAAATATTAAGAATACAAAGAAATGCTGTGTCTATAAACACATTTTAAGGAAAAAATAATGAAAAGAATTGAGACATAAGAAGAACTGAACACCACTGTTTTATTTCAACTTTACTTGCTCGTGTGTAATTGGGTTATTCCACATTCAGTGTTACTGCAAAAATAAGAGTTTCCAAATGAAAAGGTTTAACAGTGCATATGTGTAGATAAAGGAAAATGTGCACATTAGCCGTCACTTTTTCAACAAACGCCTGCCCTGGAGAATGAAGACGATTTGTCTTGTACCTTTACAAAATGAAATCTGTCAGACAGGTAGGATTTAAACCAGCCTAGCGCTGTTCCTTTGATCCCTACATCATGTTCAAGTCTTTCTAAAAGAACATTGTGATCAACTGTGTCAAAGGCAGCACTGAGATCTAACAAGACTAGAACAGACACAAGATTCTTATCTGAGGCCCGTTCCTATCGATTCCCGATTCTTTCAAGACATGACATGTTTACATGAGCCAGCTAACCACAGGTCCTACTGGATGAAATAATCTTAACTTCAACATGAATTTTAACTCTATGAACAACAACATCACCTTCATTTAGACTAAAACATGTTTTGGAGACAAAAAGAAAAAGACTTGCAGCACAACCAGTGTGTTTGTTTCTGACCACAACCAACGTCTGGGAGAAGCCTCTGGGATGAGAGGCTAAATGTCTCCAACATGTCCAGAAACGTCCAGCTGTTTCCAGCTAAAACTCTCAGGATGATCATGTCCAGGATGACTGAGAACTACACCTCCATGCTGCAGCAGCTTCAGTCACAACAGGAAGTGAAACTTAACCGTAGCTGCTGTCAGTAACAAGCTAACAGGTTTAAACATTAAAACTCAACAGAAACAGTTCAGAAAGGAAATTAAAATGTTATTTACTATTATTATTATTATTATTATTATTATTATTATTATTATTATTTATGGTGGCAGAAGCTGCTGTGGTCCACCACAGAGAAGCTGCTCTAGCATGATGACTTTAATTATTCTACAGGTTATTGTTCAGCCTTCTGATGCTCACACACACACACACACACACACACACACACACACACACACGCACGTAAGCACACACACACACGCACGCACACACACACAGAGTGTTGGTAAGCGGCTGCATCTGACTGCTGACGCTCCGTGTGTGTTGTTATTTCTGCAGTGAGACAAACTCACCTCACACCGTCCAGAGTTTGTTCTTTAAGCTTCTATTAAATCCACCGTGTTGACGTATTTAACACGTTTCCTCTACGCTGCAGGAGTTAACGTTTACATCACGGAGTAAAAGTTCGCCAGATACACAGACAGCTGGGGTGATCGGCTCTGAAAAGCCTTGATCACAATTTGCAGATCACGTTTATTTTTCATGGAGATCGGCCGTGGATTCCTCTTCCGTCAGCATTCTATGAATCGAAACTAGGAATCGAAATAAAAAACGTTGAGCGATTTTGGGAAAAATGAACAGTTGGAACCAGTTCAATTCGATGCTCGATGCCAACCC